AGTAGACCTCACTTCAGAAATAGGAAGCAGACCTTGCATGTAAGGTCACAGCTGCATATGCCAGTCACTAGGTAACATGGCTACGTTACTGTTTTAGCGCATGCGCAATACCTCACCAGAGGAGTTTTATTTTGTGATGAAAATGCATTTACTATGGTCAGGGGGTATCTCAGCAGAGGTTTCTGTAATAAATTCTTATTAGTAGATCTGTGTTTTTAATAAGGAGCGCGCACTATCCTGCAGGGTGCAAACCCGCTACGTCATCCTCGCCCGGCCTTCCCCTGGGCTCCTTTGTCGCACCCTCAGCCTCTTTCTTCTTCGACCACCCCTTGTCTATTTTCCCTATCGCCTTCCTTCCGTCTCCCACCCCTCTCTCCCGCCGCAAGCTATATTACGTACTTTTATTTAGGTCGTACAGCGCGCCTAAAACGGTGCTCGTGCATGCGTAATATCTCCAGAGAAGATTATAATATTTTGCAAAAATTATTAATTTAAAATGAAGAAGGGTCATCCTAGCATAGATTTATATGACAAAATTCCATCAGTAGACCTCGATTCAGAAATAGGAAGCAGACCTTGTATTTAGGGTCCCCGCTGCATACACCAGTCAGTATATAACCTGAATGCGTTACTGTTTTAGCGCATGCGCAATATGCCCCCAGAGGAGTTAGATTTTGTGATGAAAATACATTTACTATGGTCAGGGGGTATCTCAGCAGAGGTTACTGTAATAAATTCTTATCTGTACACCTGTGTTTATAATTAGGAGAGCGCCCTATCCTGTAGGGTGCAAAACTCCTACTTCTTCCCGGCTCGCCCTTTCCCTTCTCTCCCTTGTCGCACGCTCAGCCTCCTCCTTTTTCCACCGCCCCTCAGCTATCTTTCCTGCCGCCTTCCTTTAGTCTCCCACCCCTCCTTCCCTCAACCAACTATATTACGTATTTGTCTTTAGGCTGTACTGCACGCCTGAAACGGTGCTCGCGCATGCGAAAAAGCCCCCCTCCAAAAAAAATTATTTTGCAGAAATTATGAATTTAAAATGAAAAGAAGTTATCTAGCATAGATTTATATAATAACATTTTATCAGTAGACCTCACTGCAGAAATAGGGAGCAGACCTTGCATGTAAGGTCACAGCTGCATATATCAGTTACTAGGAAACATGGCTACGTTGCTGTTTTAGCGCATGCGCAATATCTCACCAGAGGAGTTTTATTTAGTGATGAAAATCCATTTAGTATGGTCAGGAGGTATGTCAGCAGAGGTTTCTGTAATAAATTCTTATCAGTAGACCTGTGTTTATAATAAGGAGCGTGCCCTATCCTGTACGGTGCAAACCCGCTACGTCATCCTCGCCCGGCCTTCCCCTGGGCTCCCTTGTCACACCCTCAGCCTCTTTCTTCTTCCACCACCCCTCGTCTATTTTCCCTATTGCCTTCCTTCCGTTTCTCACCCCTCTCTCCCGCAGCAAGCTATATTACGTACTTTTATTTAGGTCGTACTGCAAGCCTGAAACGGTGCTCGCGCATGTGCAATATCCCCCCAAAAATAATATTTTGCAAAAATTATGAATTTAAAATGAAGAGGAGTTATCATAGCATAGATTTCTATGATAAAATTTTATCGGTAGAACTCACTTCAGAAATAGGAAGCAGACCTTGCATATAAGGTTCCCGCTGCATATACCAGTCAGTTCATAACCTGACTACGTCACTGTTTTAGCGCCTGCGCTGTATCTCACCAGATGAGTTATATTTTGTAATGAAAATGCATTTAGTATTGTCAGGGGATATCTCAACATAGGTTTCTGTAATAATTTCTCATCAGTTCACCTGTGTTTATACTTAGGAGAGCGCTTTATAGACTGTAGTGTGCAAACTCCTACTTTATCCCCGCCCGCCCTTCCCTTTGTCTCCATTGTCGCACGCTCAGCCTCCTTCTCCTTCTACCGCCCTTCGACTGTCTTCCCTGCCACCTTCCCTTAGTGTCTCACCCCTCTATCCCTTAGCAAGCTATATTTACGTATTTTTCCTTTGGCCGTACTGCATGTCTGAAACGGTGCTCGCGCATGCGCAATATCTCCCGAGAATAATGATATTTTGGAAACATTATGAATTTAATATAAAGAAGGGTTATCCTAGCATAGATCTCTATGATAAAATTTCATTAGTAAAAATCACTTCAGAAATAGGAAGCAGACCTTGCATGTAAGGTCTACGCTGCATATAGCATTAAGTACATAACCTGGCTACGTTACTATTTTAGCGCATGCGCAGTATCTCACCAGAGGAGTTTTATTTTGTGATTAAAACGCATTTAGTGTGGTCAGGGGATATCTCACCATAGGTTTCTGTAATACATTCTTATCGTTAGATCTGTGTTTATAGTTAGGAGAGCGCCCTAGCCTATAGGGTCCATACCTCCTACTTCATCCCGCCCGTCTTTTCCCTTGTTTTCTTTGTCGCACGCTCAGCATCCTTCTTCTTCTACCGCCTCTCAGCTATCTTCCCTGCCGCCTTTCTTCAGTCTCCCACTTCTCTCTACCTCAGCAAGCTATATTACGTACTTTTATTTAGGTCGTACTGCACGCCTGAAACGGTGCTCGTGCATGCGTAATATCTCCCGAGAAGAATAATATTTTGCAAACATTATGAATTTAAAATGAAGAGGGGTCATCCTAGCATAGATTTATATGATAAAATTTCATCAGTAGATCTCACTTCTGAAATAGGAAGCAGACCTTGTATGTAAGGTCCCCGCTGCACATACCATTCCGTACATAACCTGGCTATGTTACTGTTTTAGCGCATGCGCAATATCTCACCAGAGGAGTTTTATTTTGTGATGAAAATGCATTTACTATGGTCAGGGGGTATCTCAGCATAGATTTCTGTAATAAATTCTTATCGTTAGACCTGAATATGGGTGTGGGTCCGAAGTGAAATGTTGCGAAATGCATTGCTATTGTCAAAAGTGTATTTTCGTTTATATTGACTCTTGTTTCGAGCTGTACTGCATATTCAGCTGTACTGCAGACCCCCCTATTTGTATAATCATTGCAAATGGGACATCATTGCAAAGTGAAATAAACAGGCTTTCCAATTATACCAAAATTGCAATGATAATGCAGATACAAGAGAGATATCATCGACCAACCCTGAATTTCCGAACATTTTTAGGAGTGTACATGAAAAGTCTCAAAATAAAAAACCCTGCAGTTTACGGGTTAAGAGATACAGGGTCAAGACGGTATTCGTAGTGTCTTTCATTTTAGATACAGTGTTAATAAAAGTATATTATTTTAAATGCAAGGTAGTAACCCTCATTTGCACAGGCTCTTAATTTCCATAAAATTTCATTTGTAGATTCCCATTGGCATCAGGATAGTTTCTTTGAGTTCTTAAGGCGTCTTCCAGGAGTCCCTTTAAGAGGAAAACGTTTAATTTCTCATTTAAATGTCACATTATAACCATAAATCCAATGCTGTGATATGTTTACTTTGATGAGTCCTCAATCTAAGTTACAATGAGCCTAAATTTGTTCGAGACCTCCCACAATGCTTTGCAAATGAGGGCTCCTACCTTTAAAGGAAAAGGTGATTCCAGTCCATTTTTTTTCTCAGACTTCAGTATACATTAAAAGAAGCATGTTTCACTCAGTGAATGGTTTTAATTCCAGTACATGTGAAATGTGTCAAGTTTAAATTTTGTTTTGAGATAAAATTAAGAGATACATAAAGATATCATAGTTGAAGCTACCATACTTTAACACGTTAAATTCTGAATATATTGTTTGCCCCCCATCCTCAAAATGGAATACAATCAACGATATACACGAAGAAGTCAAACAAAAAAATTATTTAAAATGGTAAGTTTTTAAAATTTATCGACCTCTAGTGATCAGATGACCTAGTTTATGGCATGTAAACAATACAAACAATAGTTGATATTTACAATTAAAATGCGCGAAAATGAACCTTTTAGAAATCAAAAATACGAAAAGTTCCTACCGTTGGACGGGAGATATTCCCTCCCAGCTTTCCCCTCGATCGCTTCGCTCCCTCGCAGGCTCTTGAACCACGTCTCGTCACCCCACACTTTTTATAATGGATTTGCGTCCCTGAGAATAATAAACCTCTCTGGTTATAAATGATTCTCATTGAGCCATTTATTAACTGACTGCAATCATATGGACTGCAATTCTTTATTTAGTTCTTACTGTATAGCCTGTATTTCTGTCCCTGTAATTCCCAAGGATACATCCTCAGCTTATAATAAAAGCTTGATAGTAACTGCGTGTGCTACATCATTAACATATATTAGGCATAACAGTGGGCCCAAAATCGAGCCTTGTGGTACTTCACATGTAATCGGGTCCTTATTAGAAAAGGCACTCCCTACATCTGTTACATACTTGACTTCTATTAGAGAGATAAGCACCGAACTATTTCACAGTCCTACTATCCATACAATAGCTTTCAGCTTGGCTAGTAAAATGGTATGGTCAATGGTATCAGAAGCTTTTTGAAGATCTAATAGAACTGTGTGAATTAGATTTCCTTCGTCAGATACATCATAAATGAAATCAGGTAAATGGATCAAACTCGTGTCTGTTGAGAAAGTTGATCTAAAGCCAGATTATAATTCGTATAGTAAGGAATTTTCCATAAGTATTTCTCTACTTGGTTATAGGTACGTTATATCTCATCAAGTACGTTAGTTATACGTATATACGTATAAGTACGTTTCCATACACGCAAGAGAGCATAAAGCCGCAGTCCTACGGCTTTATACTGTGATAATTGACGAGTATACAATGACTTGAGACCGTATTTAATTGGTACGGTTCTCGACTTAATATAACCAAGTAGTACAAGGTTCTCTGTATCATTTCCTCATTTCTCATCATTTCTCATCGCGTATTTCTGTGGTTGATACAACCCGATACCGATACTAAACGACAGTGCTACATTCTGGCGGATAAAGTGGCGCATTTTAAAGATTGGCTTTTCGCAGCGCGTGCGAGACGAATGGATTGATGTCAGGCAGTTTATTTGACTTGAAAACATTCAATCTGTAAAATGGGAGTACCAGCATTTTTTCGATGGTTGAGCAGAAAGTCTCCTGCCATAGTTATCCACTGTGTCGAAGAAAAGGTGTGTAAATTGTCCATTTGGTGCTAATGTTATTAAAATATTACAAGATTTCTAAATTGCAGATTAAAAACCGGCTTTGATAAGCCTTATCGCCAATCGTTAAATATCACCAGATGGCGCCCCGCCGCAAAGCATGATGGGATGGAAAAGGGGGCAACGATCGGCGCTCATAGATAATATACGCACGGCTATGGGTGATAGGAAAGGATACTAACAATATAATAATAACAATAACTAATATCTTGCAAACGAGTTGAGTTACATTTCTAGAAATCACAAGGAATATAGACAAATGTCTTAGCTATAATGTCTGTAAATTTTTAGTTTTGTTGAAGCACGAGTAGCTAGTCTAATTAATTACTAAATATATGCGAACGGTATCGCGCATAGGCGCCTATTGCGTGCAGCCGGCTATACGCACGGCTATGGGTGATAGGAAAGGATACTAACTATTATATCTTGCAAACGAGTTGAGTTACATTTCTGGAAATCATAAGGAATATAGACAAATGTCTTAGCTATAATGTCTGTGAATTTTCAGTTTGTTGAAGCACGAGTAGCTAGTCTAATTAATTACTAAATATATGCGAACGGTATCGCGCATAGGCGCCTATTGCGTGCAGCCGGCTATACGCACGGCTATGGGTGATAGGAAAGGATACTAACTATTATATCTTGCAAACGAGTTGAGTTACATTTCTGGAAATCATAAGGAATATAGACAAATGTCTTAGCTATAATGTCTGTGAATTTT